AATGAACGTCTACTTGATCAATCTTTTGATTCTACCTTTCTACATCTAGCTAAGTTCTTAAGTATGACATCTTTTTTTGAGTGATTGCCATTTCATGGTAAACATACACGAATAAATTTTAAATGTACCAAATTATTGGAAGTTGAAGAGTTATAATAATTAAAATGATTAAATATAATAAAAAAATCAAATTGATAGAGTTTAAAAGTTATTTGTAATGAATCACATGATAATAAAAATGATAAAAGAATTGAAATTGTTGGTCATAAAAATAATAAATTACCATAAATATAAAAACCAATCATATCATAATATCGAGTTAGGTATTATACATACCAATTCATTACCATAAGTTAAAAAAAAATCATTTAGTTACAATATATACCTTGGAATTTCATTGAGTCACCATTTCTCTGTTCAATAAGAACACAAATCATGATTGTAAACATGAATCGCCTCTTTCAGTTTGAAAAAGTTTCACACGTGTAACTCTTACTCTGATCTTTTCTTTACCGCAACATATCAAGAACGTGTCTTCTTTTCTTCTCATATACTTGAGAATGCTCTTGACTGCCATCTGATGGGCATGATATCGACTTGCCATGCTTAAGGCATATGACACATTAGGCCTCATACATAACATAGATAATTGATCCTATAGTTGAAGCATATTGGACTCAAATCATCTAGCTTCACACTAGAACTAAGACATTGAGTTTAGATCAATCTTAAACCATGTTGCATATGTATGAGTTGTTTTGGAGTCTTGCATCTTGAAATTCTTCAAGATTTTATATATGTGCATATTTTGGTTTATCACAATGAGACATCTAGATCAATCTTTATACTCGTTAATATGATTAAGCACTTCGGTAAACACATAAACACAATCACACAACAATTAAAGATTCGGATAATAAAAAAAACATAAGGATTTAACATGGTTCACTCGATCAGAGAAACCGACCTACGTCTACAAAACAAATAGAAAGAATTTTAATTAATAATAGTCGTCACACATGCTTTCGATCTTAGGGTTAGATTTATACAGAGAGATATATTTATATGAACGAGATGACCTAAATCTTCTTGTGGGCTAGGCCTAAAAAACATCGCCGACTCTGGCACATTGATCAGGCACCATAACTACCCTTCGAGATACCGTAATTGTTGTGTGGAGATACCGTAGTTATGGTATGTTGGACACTACATCCTTACTTTGTCACCTCATAACCACTCTACAACAGTGGTCCTACTCTACAACTTCATATTCTGATGTCGAAACTAATACATAAACTATCCTATGAGCTCAAAGGGAATATCAGGCTCCATAACTTAACATATAGCATTGTGCTTTGTATAAACTTAATGGAAAACCAAGTATACCAAAATAAAATGTTACATTAACATCAAACTACATCTTACATTACATGAACCCGTTACATAAACAAGTAAAAGAAAATCACTACAATTACACTCCCAAAATATAATCCATAAACTTCTAATTATTTTGGACTTCTTGTCTTCTGATTACATTCTCATTTTTTAAGATCAACGTCAATCTTGGACTTATGTAGAGCCATTTCTTTATCCATGTTTTCAATCTTAGTTTTTGTATGAAGTCAACTCATTTCCCACAACTTTAAGCTTTAAATACATTTTCACTGGTCTTGCCTTCAATTTCTTCATAATACCCACATAATGCACATGTGGAAGTTTGAAGTCAATCCAATTGAAGTATTTGTATTTCTTACTTGGATCCTACATATTGGATAAGAAATTAACAAAATTCCATTAAAAAATAAGAAGGACGACATGACCATCCAATTAGGGCAGTCCCTAAACCTTTGACCTATGTTATTCTTACTCCAACTAATTGTAATCTTTGATTCCTTTCCAGTTACATCCCTATGGAGAGTTTCATTGATATTCAATTTTATTCCTGTAGCTCCTTCGAGTCGATTAGGATGACATTGTATTGCAAAGATCAAATCGTCCAGAGAAAGAAATGGGAAAAGTACAATTTCACGGACCCTTACGGACATTCTTGCCACATCATCATCTACGTGTCATATGCCATATTGGGCAAACAATTACATATCTCATGGAATGGACAATAGCATGTAATAAGGACTAAATGTGGACCAAATACTACTTTAGGGACCCATGTCGGAAAAAAAATATCAAATGAGATTGTACAATAATTGCTCTAGTTTTTCAATTTATTTCCTTACAACAATAGTTTACAAAAATAAATATTAGTTATCTCATAGTATATTTTTGGAATAGTCTACCCTAGTATAAATCACTCATAATCCCAAGGCCTAAATATGGTTATTCATGAAGATGCGTGAAGCATATAGAAAAAATTGTGGAACATGCATTTCACACCGAAAAATATACAGGACCACATTCCCCTAGAAAAAATCTACACTATAATATATAATGTTAATGTGTGATATAATATAAAATATGATCGTTGAAGACGAATATCAAACCGAAACAACCATTAACAACCTAAAGAAAACGCCAATATCTAAAAGCAATAACAACTAGATTTTATGAATTTTAATCATTTTGTATTCAGCTATAAATAAATTAGATAGGAAATTTTATTTATCAGTTTAATAAATAAAATCATCTAACTAAATAAAGTATGTATAAAGTTGAACCAATTTTTAGACTAATTAGGTTGAAAGTAGATGGTTGAAGAGTGTATTTAAAGATGCATTATTTTTTTCTATATTTGGAGATAAAGAAACAAAAATGGTTAAATATAACCTGAAAACACCATAATTCAAAAGAAAAATCAAATCACATATAGCTTAAAAAGTGTAAATGTACTCCACAATCTTAGAGGAAAGTAACTCAAGTTTGTAAATGGTAGATTGTAATCTTCCTTCAATTCCTTTTTGTAAAAAAAAAAAAAAAAAAAAAAAAAAAAAGAATACATGTATTTGTAATAAAAAAGAACTTAATAAATTTATTTAAAACTTAAAAGGTCAAAAAGCAAAAAATATATATATGGAAGTTGGTGTCCTAACAAAAGCCGATGCCTTGAACAAAGCCAAAGATGACAAGAGTTTCTTCTTTTTATTCCTTTGCAAACTAACATCCCGATATTTAATACAATAACGAGTTCATTAAGCCATTATTAGGTATTGAAGTGTAAATAAGATTAATATAATGAACTTTAAAAAATAAAAAAATAATAATAAAAAAAATTCTATCTCATAAGAAATTGATATTAGAGTCTAGAGATGTTGACCTGGAAAAACATATATCACAATGAAACGTTATTACGGAAATATCAACATATGACCACGGTTTTCAAATATGGCCTTATTCCTAAATTGATTTATGACAAAAAGGTTATCCATGAAATATTTCGAAGTTAACTTGGAATATGGTTTGGAAATAAGATTTGTGGAAATGGCCTATGGTTTTCGAAATCTGATTACAAGACGTAAAGTAATTTCGAAAAGAACATTATCAGAATTTGCGAACTCGTGTTATAATTTTTGAACTCACTTAGATTTAAGGAATCAATTTTCTAACATAAAGAACTCAAATTCTGATAATTTTGAAATATTCATATTTTTTTTTAATCAATTTAAGGATACATTTTCAGTCTATTAGAACGGTGGGAATAAAAACTCTTCCAAACCTGATATCACATAGGCGTTTTTCTCTTCTCTGTCTCTCTCTCACTTTCAACCCTCCCAACCCAAGAAATGGAATCCTCTCATCCCACATAATATGATACAAATATACAAGCACAAGGTACAAGTTGAAAGGAGAGAAAAGAGAGAGGGGTATCGGCTCCAAGAACCACCTCGACTTAAATTTTTCTGGTACCGACCATGGTGGAGCCTTGTTCCCAACAGTACCAATTGCAACCATGAACGCCTTGCTGTTCGATTTTGTCCACTCTTAAAGGGTAGATTTTCTTTGCTTGAATACATTATCAATGTATGTAGGTGGCCATCAAAACCTTTTGAGTTAGGTGTGTTGGGAGGTACACATAAGTGTTATTCAAATTCCTTTTTTAAAGAGATTATCAAAACAAGAGAAGAAGAAATTTATGAAGCAGTTACAACAAATGACGCGCTACATATGGTCTGTAATGCATGAATTAATTACGATATGCAATGTTGGAGTCACAAACTACTAAAACAATGTGGAATCCAACTTTCCGATTTGGTTCTTACCTACGATTTGACCACTATTTAGAATATGTAATAAAGGCTAAAAAACAACATGGTTGGATGTACATGGATGGTTTCCCCTGGTTGGATGTATGTGGATGGTAGAGTAGATAACAATAGTTACAAAAATTTAGGAATTTATATCTATTTTTCGTTCGATATCAATTCGGGTGAAAATGCGTCGGAACTTAAAGACCACTAACTCTCGTTGTAGGTGGCAGTCCAAGAACCTAAAAACATTTCGTCAAAGACATGAATACCTTATTTGTTGACTTTATTTCTTTTGTTATGACAATCTTTCAATGCACATACTACCTCAAATTGTTCTATTAAAAAAACATAATAATGCATATCAATTAGAAATAGTTTCAAAAATAACTTTCTTGAATTGCGAAGTAGTTCTTGTTTTTCAAAGATATTAACTTCATGCTTTTAACAAAAGTATTTTGAAAATAAAACAAAGATAAATTGTACTTGTATTTATGCAAAACGATGTTGAAGATAAAAAAAAAAAAAAAAAAAAAAAATTGCTTCACATGTTTCCGAAGATATGTAATCTGATTTTCGAACATATTCTTCATATTTGAAAATGTTTACTTGGGAAATATTGTATTGGAAATTCGTAATGCATTTTTGAAAATATATTTCTCCATAATAGGTTGTTAAAATGTAATATATGTTTTTCCTTTGTGGTCGGTCAATGTAGTGAATTATCTCTTAATATCATTACCAATAACAAAAGATACCATTTACCAAATCCTTGGAGGATGAGCTTATTTTAAAGAGCATTTTGCATGATTAAAAAGAGTGTACTATCAAACTTAAACAATAAGAAATAAAGTAAAAGTAAAGTAAAGTTGGTGTAGTATTCACTATTCAAAAGGAATGAGTCAACACTTACAAAATTAGTTACACATCTGACCCCCATCGCCCATCACCTTTAATACTTTTCATTTCACCTTTCAACATTTGTCTAGGTGGGTCACTACTTATTTTCATGTCATCTCCACCTGCCCATCGTAACACCCTAAAAGTCCACTTATTCATATAAAATTTTATGTTTTTTTTTTTTATATAGTATATATTATATAGAAGATGTAGTGGGTATGTTGTTATTAGTAAATAAAATATGTTCCTCCTCAATAGTGGTGGTATCCGTATCTTGGGTTAATGAAACTGAAACCCAAGTTTGGGTGATTTTTTCTAGTTTTCCTTGTTTTGAGTCTATTAAAGTAAAGGCTCGAAGTGTGTTGTGAGAGAATCTTTTGACCCTAGGAACAATGGCCCCGTTTAGGTATATGGTGTTGTCATCCCCATCCCCAACCACAATCATTTTACGTTGACCATTTCCAAATGCCAGCTCCTTATGCATGTGTCCAAACACCACCACTGGAATGGAATATTTGGTGCTACTACTACCGCTACCTTTAAGTTGAGATATAGCAACCGCTAAATCTGTACACCATGATTAATGAGAGGAGTAAATGACCGTTTTGCCCCTTAATAAATGAAAGTATGTTGCTATACCTGGATCACCATGGTCTCCACCTCCACGCACCCAATCTCTTCCACAAATGTCATTCATGTTGGACCCAAGCCCTCAACATACAAAACAATAAAATCTTGCAAAATTGATTTGACCGTTTGACCATGAGACATGAAATGAGAGGTTTATATGTTGAGAAAATGGCATACCTGTGGGCCCATTGTGAGCAAGAAGAATGATGGAATGATCCTTTGGTGTCCCTACAGCAGCTTCACAGATTTTCTTTGCACTTTCGTTCATGTTGTGAACTCCATATCTAACAGGTTCTTTCAAATATTAGCACCAAAAGTTTAAATGAAAGAAATAGCATCCTACTTTCATTTATTTGTGTATTATAGCATCCTACTGAAAATCATTGTTCAACAAAATCCAGTGGCTAAATCGATAAAAAATAAAAATAAAAAAGTATGTTGTGCTTTTCTGCATTACAACTTTTTTCAAAACTTGCAACCAGGGTTCAGGGTTCAGGGTTCTTCAATGCAATTGATACATGCAAAAAACTTAAAAGCAAACAGACCTTTTAGTCAAAAGTTGTTTCCTAAAGAGCCTTTCACCTCCACAAGAAAAGGGGCGTCCTCCAACAACACTAAGCTTCAATGAATGGAAGTCCAATCTTTGGTAACCAACATGTTCTTCCCCAAAACTGGATGTCATGTCACAATATAATTATACAATGGATTTTTTTTTTCTTTTTTAAAAAAAAAAAAAAAAAAAAAAGAGGAACATATGATATTGTATTAAACATGATTGTTATATCAGAATACGGAGTCATGTACATTTTTGAGCTTAAAAATAAGATAAAAATCTTCAAAACTGGGAATAAGTAAAGCTCTCACCTTTCCAGCTGGAGTTGAACAGCATCTTTCCCCCTTCAAAATAAATGAATGGACACAGTTAGAAGATTTCTTACTTTTCTAGTATTTAATTACATAGCAATTATAAATTATGAAGATAAATAAATCAGATGTTGATAATGCATTTTATTAAAAATTGTCTAAATTATTATTATTATTTACAAAAGAATTGTTAAATAATTAGATGGGTACCTAAATTTGAACCTTAAGGTGTCCTTGAGCCCTTGAGGTGTGAAATTTGTATTTGATTTTGGGGATGGGTTTTTGACATATAAATAAATCACTTAAAAATAATGATAATTTTATATTAGAAATTTCATCACTTGTGTCTTCCAATTAATATGTGTATTTGATGTCATAGCTTCATTCTTCTTAACAATCATTCCATTAATGATCCAAATTCTGCTTGAAAAGCACCTGTTTTATTTGGAAGTGAAGGGTATTTTGATCAACATAAGACTTTGTGAGCTATCATATCTAAATTCTAAAAGATAATTAGTTTGAGTTTGGAGGTGCATAATTGTTGACAAAATATACTTATTAATTCTATGAATTAGAACTGATGTGGTTGTAAACCCTAACTATGGTGATTGAGGTTTGTGTCGAATTTATGGTGTATAGCGATGAATGGAAGCTATAATAACATGATTTCAAGCTTATTGAGTACTAACTCATAGCTATTTTCTTGAACTAGGGATGAAATTTGAGTTTAACTCATATGATGTATTGTGATATGCAAAGTAAGCTTGTACATATTTTATGATTGGTATAAACTGTTAATAAAAGCGTTACATGATGAGATGAGAATATCCATGTAAGACTTATAAAGAGTATAAGTCTATCATATGAGGATTGGTATTGTCACAGTTAAATTATCCACTAAGCTTAGGCTTATGCTGTGAGTTACAGGAAATAAAGGAAAGGCGGTTATGGAGAAGTGATAGTTTAGTCGGTGTGAACATGTTAACTTTTGTGTAGTATACTGTAATACCCGGTTTGGGTCATGGTTGTATTTTGGCAACTAATTGTTTTGTTTTGTAAATGTTAAAGTACAACAGTGGTTTATGAAATATAAACTTGTGAAAAATTTGGGTGTATTTTAATATTAAAGATCGGGCGTTAGTTACACAAATTCATATTTATCCTCGACTGGATCCAACCTAAATGATCTAACGGGAAAATGACCCTATTGCCCTTACTAACTGTATTTAAGCCACAAGTGGAAGTACTACACCCAAGACTACTTAAAAGTGTAAGGTTGCGTCTAGTTATGGAAAAGCAGTTTTTCGTTTTCCCTTTTTAGTTTTCATTGGAAAATTTAGAAAATGAGTTTAGTTAAAACTTTTTCATTTTTCATTTTCAGTATTAGAAAATCGTATGTTTTTCTATCGGTTTTCATTTTTAGAAAACGGTAGCGGTGGTAGGGTGGGGGTGGGGGCGGCGGCAGTGGGGTGATGATGACAGGCGGTGGTAACGATGGCGGTGTTGGTGCTGGTGCTGGTGATGAGGTAGTGGTGGTGGTGATGGTGATGGACTGATGGTAGTGATTGTGGTGGTGGTGTTGGGTGTGTGTGTGTGTGGGGGGGGGGGGGGGGGGGGGGGGGGGGGGGGGGGGGGGGGGGGGGGGGGGGGGGGGGTGGGCTTGGGCTTGGGAGTGGGTGGGTGTGGGTAGGTAGGGGGGTGTTAAGGTGGGGGTAGGTAGAGGTGGGTGTAGGTGTGTGTTTATATTTTAGAAAAAAATTGGAATTAGAAAAATGTGGAAAACAATGATTATCAGTTTTCCAAAAATTTCCAACTTCTTTGTAATTTTAGAAAACAGAAAATTTTCATTTTCCGTGAAAATTTTAGAAAAATAGACGAATTAAATGCGTTTTCAAAATTCTCATTTTTCTTGGAAACTTTTTCCGAAAAAAGGCCCATTTTTCCACAACTAAACGCAACCTAAGGGTGCGTTTGGTTGTGGAAAACTGTTTTCATTTTCTAAAAAAGATGTTTTCAGAAAATAGAGTTTAGTTTTCATTTTCAATTTTCAATGAAAATTTTAGAAAACGTGCTTGGTTGGAACCGGTGGAGTTTTCATTTTCCATCTTAGAAATTTGGAAAACGGTAAAAATCACTTTTCTAATTTACATACAATTTGGAAAACTGAAAATTTTCATTTTCTTAGAAAACTTTGGAAAACTAAACAAACCAAACACGTTTTCAAAATTTCTGTTTTTCTTGGAAAATTTTCCTAGTAAACTAGAAAATTTTCCACAACCAAACTCACCCTAACATTCTTGCTCAGAGTCCTTCGGTTCATGTTCTTGCAAATTTACCATTTCAACTATGAAACTCTCATAGACAATTTGATATAATCATGCTCCAACTTGAGAGGAAGTGTTAGATATATGTATGTGTAGAATATAGGGTTTTATTGCTTTTGATGCTTTCTTTTATTCAATTTCCTAGTTAGGTAATATTTTCATATAAATGAGGCTTTAACCTCACTATGAATGTATAAGAAACATTTCCAGTATATTACAAAATTCAGGGACGGATGCCATGGTGTATGTTTTTTTCTCCAATGACATTGTGGAGTAGTATAGGTGTTTCTTTACTTCTAGTATCAGTATTTTAAATCCCCCTCCCCTCTTTTTTTCTTTCACCCATGTATGGCAAGCACTTTATTCTTTTCAAAGAAGGTATAAAATTACCATAATGCCCTATTAAATATTGATGATTTTTACGAACAGAATTGTTAAGTTGGGTCTTTCAGCTCCAGAATGTTGGCCAGTAACTGAATTTGGGAATAAAATCGGTAGTGGTAAAAATGGTATTCCTATTATAGTCCAGTGGCAGTTGTTGCACTTTAATGATTAACCTAATACTTACTTTTCAGAAAAACTTTGTGTATTCCAGGCATCATGGTTCCCTAGAATAGCTGCTTTGGGCATTTTCAGTGCTGCAATGCTTCTAACAAGTTTAACATTTTCATTACCAAAATCACCTGGGCAAAGAAAACCAGAAGAAGATGATTAAAGAAAAGAGCACCAATATAAAGATTATAACTAGACACTGAATTCATAAAGAAATTGCTTTGAAAGCAAAAATGAAAGAAATCTTGCCAGATAAATCTAGAAGAAAAAAAAGCTTTGCACCAAAAACCTGCCTGTAAATAGCACCAAATCTGGCTGCAATTTCAAACAACAACTATTAACTAACAATAGAAAAATGCATAAGCATAACAATAACTTCATGAGTGAAAATGAGATAAATTCGTTATTTTGTTCAAAGGTAGAATACACACCCACACACATGCATATACATACTTATGAAAGAATCAATTAATGTTTGGAATGATCCACAGAAGAAGTAGCTGTGAATCCATTCCTACTATGAACTATATGCATAAGAACCACCTCAATCAGTCTTATATCGTTTCGAATTTGGAATTCATAAAAATTATATATTATTTTAGGGCAAAAAAAGGAGTTGATTAGTTCATATTGAGCTGTAATAAAACAAAATTAAGCCAAACTTAGTAAAAGTTGGAATGTGGAAATTAAAGCAGTTGAAGGACATAATTACCCGCAATAGCTCAAGAGCCTTTGAATCTTCTTCGAGATTCCAATCATCATGCTTCAAAATCCAACAATTACAGATAATTAATAGCTAAAAATCCATCGATTAGCACGTAATAATTAACACACAACGAAGCTCACAACGTCTCCGACGATGACTATCCTGACGGAGGAGGCCATGGATAAACGAATATTGCAGTTTAGCTTAGAAGAGTAAGACGCCGAAAAGGTCGGTGGCGACGGCGATTGGCTGGAGGAACCGAAGAGAACCGTCGGAATTGGCGTGTGAAGCAACGCGCCGGTGAACATAGAGGATCGTAATCTCGTGGTCGTACTGCCGTATATAAACTGCCACGACTTATATCTGATTTAAGAAAAATGTTACGGTTAACCCCCTCAAGCTTTGAAACTTTTACATATAGTCCTTCAATAATTTTTCAATGTTGGTGCTAATGGCTAAACAAACCCCTTTATTTGAAGAGGTACGGGTGGTGATAACAAAGCAGGTGGGTGGTGATGACAATTGGCACCAGATAGGTGATGCATCAAACCCGTTATCAATGCAGTCTATAATAATTAATAAACCTGGTTAGATTTGCTCATTATCCCAAATCATAAGTTAAGTTTGGCTTACCTGCACTGCTTCCATAGCTTCTATATAAGCTTAGAAAAAGTAAAAAATTTGCTAAACAAGTTAACCAACCTTGAAAATATATTTTGGTCATTTTAGAACTTTTTTAATGTCATACAATAGGAGGGGTGTTCAGATTTCCGAAAAAATTGGATACAAGATATTACTCTCCATATTTGTATCTGAATTTTCGGATATGGATTCGGATATATGCTTCTCTTACTTGTATATTTAATCATGTTTTACCTGTCGACCCTTTCACTCTTCATGTGCAAATGTTCCGTTCTCATTGTAGGTTGCTTTACTAAGCCTTATTCCACTTTATAATTCATTACGAACTTACATTTTCTATGCGGAGATCTTATGTCAATCATACTTTATTATATTTATTTGTTTTTTTCTTTTTTGTTATCTTTTGTCGGATGTCTTCTAGAGAAACAGTCTCTCAACCTATGTTGGGGCTACAGACCATCCTACCTTTCTCTTACCCCATTTGTAGATTGGGGTAATGTTGTGTATTTAGTTTTAATTATTGGAAAACCAATCTGTTTGATACCGATTGTGACACCCAATTTTCATAAATGACAAGTATAAAGTTATAGAAATATTGAGAGTTGATATTATAGGAGTTTAGCGAAATTCTCAAACAAAGATTGTATTGCTAGTCTTCTATGATAAATCCCTAATCAGCCATCCACACAGGTCGTCGAGGGTGTAGTTTACCTATTTTTTTCTTGATGGAGACATAAAATATCACATTTCTTCTTATTTGATCACATATCGAGTCTATAACATAGTTGTAACAATCTAACATTTGAAATACTTCACAAGATAAACAAAAAAAACATAGACACCGAGAGCGTTTATGTATTATTCAATCTAGTTCTAGGCCTCCGATTTCAACTTAAGTTAATTCATTTTGCGACTACTTAAAGGTGTGTAGCTAATTACTATTCAACTTTTGTTTTAGTAGATTAAAATTTTAATTCATCCATTAATCCTTTTGTTATATGTTTTTATCATAAGAGTACAATGTGATAAACATGGATCAACAGTCTTTAACTTTTTTCCATTTTTGTCAAGAGGCATTGGACCAATTGTCACTTTTATCAAATAAAAAACTGCTATAAACATGAATCAGAGCAAGAATGGAATGAGAAGAAGAAACAGTTTGTTTTAAAGTAGTAGTTGCACGAATGGTTAGAATATTTGAAACAAAACATATTTTTTTGCCCAAATTCAGAAAGAAAAAAATGTATACGAAATTATCATTTCATTTAGTACTGAAAAAAAAAAATCAAATTCTTATGCTACGAACAAACATTCAAAGAGTAGGAGCCATTTTTGGCACAACAAAGTAACAAAGCACAGTTGCAAAAAAGTATTCTCATTTCTCTCCAAAATTGACATCATCTCTATAAAATTCCTGCCAATAAAACACACAATTATTATGTTCCTATATAGAACTAAATGTCAGAAATACCAAAATTGACACTTTTGATTCTTTACTTATTTAGGCATTGTACTTTTAAAAAAAAATATCTTATTATTTGAAACATTCTACCTAGTTCTTGTATATCATTTAAAATTGTTTTGTATTTGGATCACATTGCTATAATTTCAGTAGGACGAAATGAGTGAGATGCTATAAATAAATGAATGAAAATACATAAATACCCTTGTAGAAATTACCTTGTATAACCAGCATTATACATATTATGGGTGGTTTGACTTTTCTCTCAACCATTCTACAAAATTGTCAAGAATCAATGGCCATGCTTGGCAAGCATCATAATTTTCAAGCTCTGGAAACTTTATCTGCACACATACAAATCACACCCCAAATCCAAATAACTATAATTTTTCGTTTTTATTTATTGCAATATATAACGAGGGTATTTTGGTCTTTTAATAAATAAGAAAGAAGAAAATTTAAATTCCTTCCACCCTCCCCTACAAATGGTAAAATCCATCCAAAATGGTATTTGAAGGATTCCGATGGAATTGAATTCCGTCCATTTGGCAACCAAAATGGAATCTCCAATTCCAATTCCATCATAAAATCGACAAAAATAAAGATAAGTTGAGTACCTCTTGACAAAAACGAAAAAAGTTAGTCCATTGATCCATGTTAACCACCTTATACTCCTTTTGTATCTATCAAAATTCAAAACATAACACAAAGAAATCAATGATTTTAAACAAAATCACAAAAGTCAAATCAGAATTAGATACAAACCTTTAAGTAGTCACAGAATGAATCAATCTGAAGTCGGAAATAGGGCCCTAAAACAAGATCAAGTAATACACAAACACTCTCGATGTCTAAACTCTTTTGTTTATCTTCTGAAATACATAAAATCATACAAATGTGTTACAAAAAATAAAATGCTATTTGGAGTTCAAAAAAAAACATAAAGATTACCTGTTAAGCAGTAACGAAAGGAGAAGCGATAGAAATCTTCAAAATTGTTTGGCTTAGCAACCTTCATAAAGAACATGGACACAAGAAGTTAGATACTAATTGAAGTTGAAATACAAATAATTACGAGGGCTAAACATGTAAAAATACCTCTCTCTCCAACTCAGAGAGTTCTTTCTTTAGCTTTTTAAGAGTGTCAGCACGAAGAGATTTGAGGCCTGTTCTCCATTCTTCCTGATAAGATAAATTGAGAAGCATTTTTCGAAAAACACCATTTTCTTAAATACTAAAACATGTTATATAAAAAGAGTAAAAAAATCAATTGAATTAGATTAGGAAAGATTTATACTCTTTGATGTAAGAAACTAAAGAACACTTATAAAACACACCTGTGGCATACCTGTGTAAAGTATCCCTGCTTCTTAGCATTCATTTTCCTGGAATATCTTTAACTGTCAATAACTGAATTACCTTAAAAGATTCAATTTCATTTAAGAAAAAAAAAAAAAAAGAATTATACCAAGCAAGCATCAAGATTCTGACATCAGTGTGCTCAACTGATAGATCTGAGCAGAGCTTCTCAACCCCTTCTGGACTATTACAGACAAAACAAACTATAAGAAATCCACAATAAAAAGTACAAATGATCCAATAAAAATTTGCCAAAAGAGTTTTTAATAATGATGATGGTAAAGATAAATAGTTAACAGAAACAAATTTATACTTACTCAATCATGCCTATTGAAGTATTAGCATATGATGCAAAGAAGTTGTCTATTCGTTCCACTTCCTTTGTGGCTTTCTTTGGGGCTGGAGAACAGTTGAGAAAAAAAATAATAAGAATATAGTGAACAGGGTCTGAAAAGGTACAAATTTCACTAGGTGTACATTTAAATTCCATGAAGATGAACTCAAATCCTTACTTTGAAATGGAAAGCCTAAATCTAAACAAATCAGTATAGTAATAGGTGGTGAAAAAATTGTACATTAAGATCAACAATATTCTCAACCAATCCCATTATAAACCCTGCAATATAATGTACTACATCACAACTGCATAAATTTGTTCCTGTTTTTCTTTACTCAATCTATCAATCTAAAGCTATCAAGCACCAGATCAGTTTAACAAAGATTTTTAGGAGATCAATTTCCTCCTCGTTTCAGTGATTGGTTGTAATTCTACACTCCACATTCTCCATATATCCCTAACAAATAATTCTATTCAAACCCTTTTTATTACTTTCCAGGCGTTCAATTTCATAAAGGGGGGATTCCCATCACTTAAACCTCTAATTAATCAAGTTAAGAACTCAATTTCTGCAATCAAACCGCCAACATAATTTCAAATTTCGATCAGCATCGACCCAATTATAACAAACCTACGCATATAAGAATATGAAGCACGGGTTTCATGCAATTTCGGTAGCGTCACAATTAACGCAAGAAAAATATGGAAGAAGTGTATCGTTTTACAAAATATCCAGATTACTGACCAGGTTCGGCAAGAGATGATTTTACGGCGTCCGATTTCCTCTTCGAAGCGCGAGGCATTGTTGATTACGAAATGAATTTTACAAAATTAAATCGGAAATATAGCGGTTAGAGCATTTGATAGGAGAGAGTGTTTTGAGGGTTTTGGATTTGCTATGTTCGAGCTACGAAGACGAACTGCAATGTCTATGTAGAGACCAGAGACTACACAGTGGGTTTTATAAGAGAGGGGAAAGGTTTGAGAATTCCCTTCGGGTCCTCATAGGGGTTTTTTTTTTCTTTTTTTGGACATTTTTTTTTCTTATATTTTAGTCAGGTCTTAATCTAGACCAATTCGATTTTGTGGTATTTATATTTGTTTTTTTGGTTTATTAGTTTAAATTCCGAGGTTTGATGTGATTTTATTTTGCTTGGATTCATGGAGAGTCGTGTCACATAGATTGTAGGTAGGAGTTGTTTAATTTCATAAATGGTCGAGTCAACTTAGTGTTTAACGGTTTCACAAATGATCAAGTTAGGTTAAAGTTAGATGGTTTATAAATGGAAGTGTGCACATTTTGAGTATTCTACTTTTATGGCCTTAGTATGAAGTCTTTCATTCTCAAATCCCCTATATAAGATTCAAGTCCACCATAATATGTCCATAATATGTCAGTAACATGTAGTTTGGTAAAGGATAATACCTTACGAGAGTTATTCTTTCTCTGGTGGATCTTCGAATAACAAGAGATTCATACTTATCTATGTAACCTCATCCTATGGACTCTTAGTACTCTCACTATCAACATGTTCATCTAAGTTCGAAATGCTTCCTCAACTTTCACATATCTCATAAGTATTGATAGGTTTTACAATGTCGTATTCTAAGATTTCATCGAAATTAAATTGATCTTTATTTCATGGTTGCTTTTCTCTATTGGAGCTTGCTGCAATCTCATCCTTATATAGGGGCATTCTTGTTAACGACTGCATCCTCACGTCTAATAACCCTTTTTGTTTTGATTATCCCAGAAGCAATATTCCATGTCATCTAAACTGTAGCATGTAAAGGTGCATTTCCTTGTCTTTGCCTCGAGCTTGTATATTTTCGGAATCCTTGATCTTC